GCTGCCAAAAGGTCCCAGTGGTTATTTTTTAGTTGCGTGTTTCATGAAAGGAGAGGTGTTGGGGAACACGGATGAAAGTTTATTACCCAGGGTAATGGGGTCGTAAAAGTTTCGAGAGTGATGAATGCCGAATAGAATTGGATGTTGTGGTGGTTGTGGTGGTGGTGACAGGGGTAGTGATAGTCTGGTAGTGGTAGTTATGGTAGTTGCGGTGGTGACAGGGGTGGTGACAGGAGTGTGGTGATAGTAGTGGTAGTGGAGGTGGTGGTGATGACAGGGGTGATGATAGTGAGGTGGTGGTTGTGATGGTAGAGATAGCGTTGGTACTAATCGTAGTTGCAGTGGTGATGGTGGTGATGGGGGTTATGACATTGGTGGTAGCAGTGGTCGTAATGGCGGTTTCGTTGACAGCAGTGGTGGTAGGGGTGATGATAAAGGCGACAGTGGTGACGATGACGGCAATGGTGTTGGTGATAATGTTCGTGGTGGTTGAAGTGGTAGCAGTAGTATTCGTAGATGTGATGGTAATAGTGGTGTTGGTAGTTGTATTGTGGTGGCAATAGTAGTGTTGGTAGTTGTTGTGGTAGTAAAAGTGTTGGTACATGTAGTACTTATGGTACTTGTGATGGTGGTAGTGGTGGTAAAAGTGGTAGTGATGATGGTAGTGGTGGTGCTGTAATGATGGTGGTGAGTGGCTGTGGTAGTGGTGACACTGACAGTGGTGACGGTGACAGTGGTGGCGGTGGCAGTAGTGGTAGTGGTATTGGTGATAGTGCTGATGGTGGTTGTGGTGGTGGTAGTAGTGGTGATGATGATGCTATAAGTGGTAGTAGAAATGGTAGTGGTGTTAGTGGCGGCGGTGGTGGCGTAGTAGTGGTGGTGGTAATGGTGGCAGTTGTAACGGAAGTGGTAATTGTGATGGTAGTGGTGGTTGTAGTGGTGATGATAATGATGGTGGTGGTGTTGATAATGCTTGCCGTTTTTGTAGTGGTGGAAGTAACGACGTTTAGGGTAGCGTTGTTGTTGGTATTATTCTATTTGCGGTTGTGTTTGCTGTTGTTATTGTTGTTTTCAATGCTGCTGTAGTTGTAGTTGTTGTTGTTGTTGTTGTTGTTGTTGTTGTTGTTCTTCTTCTTCTTCTTCTTCTTCTTCTTCTTCTTCTTCTTCTTCTTCTTCTT